AAATAAATCACACTATGTTAGAGTAAAAAAATATTACAGAGAGTCGTCGGGGGCTCTGAACATTGTTTAAAACCTTCCCAAATATGAAATGTTTAATTGATGATAAGGCTCAAGGGTTAGTCAGCAATTTTCCTGACGTTTCCATCAAAGGGATCAATAAAGTTCTATTCTATTCTATTCTATTCTGTTCTAGTCAGTGGCAGCCTATCAAGAGATTCCAGTTCACAGTCAGAGCTCCTGAAAACACCTCACGCCGCCTGTTGTCCAGGCTGCTTTCATTTGTCATGTTTCACTGCTTCATTTGCTCCTCACCTCTGCTTCAGAGATCTTTCTATAACTAATGAACCAACAGCAGGACCTAAAGATAGCACTTGACGGACACTTCTTATCCAGTGTGACAGAGCTGGAGAGGATCTGCCTGAGACAAGGTGATAAAACGCCCAAATCAAGGTGCAGAAAACTCCTTCAGACCTTACTAAGAAGACACAACTTTATAAAGTAAAAATCCAGCATGGCTGCAGCAGACAGGGGGAAAAGGAAAATGCATTTGAAAACAGTCAAAGGACATGTTAGAATTAAGTATGTTTTGAGCTATTATGTGTTCGGAATCTGTATTTTGCACTGAGCCTATGAAGATGATGTGGCCGGTGGGAACCGGTTCGCACACTTGGAGACAGCAGAAACTCCTCTTTTCTATCAGATACGATTGTTACTTTAGCTACACGCCGTACCAACAACATCCACACACGTTGCTTACCAAAAATATCAAGGACGTGGACAGAGCGCAGAAGAGGTATGCCTGTCCACGGCATTAGTAACTGGCCAATTAAATCTTATCTATGTTCGGGGCAGGCCCAGCCCAAGAAGATATCTGTAACCTGGAGCCGAAAAGCCTCAGTTCAGCTGGACATGAGATTCCTCTCTGTCCCTCTGAATTCCATCGCTGTCTCACTTTACCTGTGACTGAAATAAATCAATTATACAACTGAGAACGGAAGATTTCTCCGGCTTGTTCTTGGGCTTCCAACTAAAGAATCGTGTCTAACAATTTAAGCAAAATAAGCAAAATAAGCAAAAAATAAAATCCAGCGTATTTTATCAGTTTAACTCTGCAGTTCTAAAGGTTACTTCAGGACCCAAGAGCAAAACTGGAGGTTCTGCCAAGTTCATAGCAGCTGTTGGTCAGTGATTAAACTGATGGGAGTTTACCCAGCGTTGCTTTTTACATGCACCTATGAGTAACACAGTCTGAATCACCTAAGAACAGAGTCTGTACAAACACTTTATTGAACTGTTACATAAAGGCAGGTCTTAATTCAACAGCTGACTTCGCCTAGCTTTCAGTTTTCAGATCTCAATATGTGAGAAGATGCAGGAGAGTCTGTCATCTACAAAGAAATCCAAGTACTTGTAGGATGATACTTGTTTAGTCCCACCTTAAGTAAGAATGCTGCAATATCTGAAGAAGAAGAGCAAGCTCTGGAACAGATCATAAATGTGGTGTTCTGAGCATTAAGGACCAGCTGTAGATAATGTAGACTACATAGTCAGTGTGGAGCTCATCAACAGAGTAGATGAAGGGTCTGACTTTATGAATACGAAAAAATCCTCTTTGATTTTTGACACTGTTATTATGGGATATTGATTATAGACTGATAGAGTAAAAATGACATTTTATTCGTTTTGAATGTATATATATCTTTAAAAAAACAAAACAAACATTGAAATTCAGTGTTTTTCATCAATTATTGTTTGTAATGTTATCTTTTGTGCACTTGAAATTACTCTGTGAAAATAACGAAAGCATCCTGAAGCATATTGCAGCGTTTCTGCTTCATTTATCCGCCCTTTGTCCAGTCAATGCACAGTTCATACAATAAAGAGTTGTGCTTCTTTTTGTTGTCATGAAATCTTCATTTAACAACTTGCTTTTCATAACATGAACTTCTGGGCCGAGTAAAGGGACCTGTGTAAAAAGTTTTGAAAAAATAATCTAGATAATAGTATAAACTAATTTAATGTCATTGTTATTTCTGAACAGATAAACAGCAGCTCTCTCATGGTTCTACTTCAGCTTCGGCTCAAACTTAAACTTCCATTTAGTCTAAAAATGTATTTTTTAAAAGCAGCATGCACTTGAAACCAGAAGTTTACGTACGCTATATAAAAGGAAATATAACCTTTGTTTTTTCTCACTGTCTGACATTAAATCAGGCTAAACTTATCCTGTTTTAGGCCAGTTAGGATTACCAATATGTTTTCTATTTACTAAACGCCAGAAAAATGTGAGAGAGATTTTTTTTTTACTACTTTCTTCAAAGTCAGGCCAACAAACTTGACTCAGTTCCACCAGTTCTGTCGGGAGGAATGGGTCAGAATCCCAGCAAACTATTGTAAGAAGCTTGTAGAAGAAAACATCTCATCCAAGTCATACAGTTTAAAGGCAACGCTACCAAAAACTAAGGAAATGTATGTAAACTTCTGACTTTAGAGAAAGTAATAAAAACTAGTCTCTCATTATTCTGGTGTTTAGCAAATAGAAATAATTTAGGTAATCCTACCTGACCTAAAACAGGGAAAGTTTAGTCTGATTTATTGTCAGATAGGAAGATAAATGTGTCTTTTTACAGTTTATGTAAACTTCTGGTTTCAACTGTATTTACAAAATGTTTACTGAGTTGACAACACGGTGCCAGTATCATAATCACCCTCACTATTTACATATTAACCAGACCAACATTTTCTTTCAGTAAAGATTTACAAGAGCAAGTGGTGCTTAAAATGACACAATGAACTTTTAAACCTTTAATCTCCTCTGGGAGAACTATAGACATGTGTTTATCTCATTACAATACACCTATGAAAAAAAAACCCCAATATGTTCTAATGGCTCATTTAACCTCATTTGCAGGTTCAGTGTTGAGGGGGAAATTCAATTACTGCAGTTTGTAATTTGTACCTCATCAATGGCCTGCAGATAATAATGATCAGTGCTAAATGTAATGAACGACACCATGTCCATTAGCCTCGTTATTAACAGACATCTACATGCCTTCCCCCTGTTGGCCTGCAGTCTCCTAAACGATTAGCAATTAAAACGAGCACAGAGTGTTTACCCCTCTGGCTTTTTGACACGAGCCCAATTGATCTGGAATTCAAAATGAGGAACTATTGTGATACAGATTTGAAACAGAATTTGTGCTGCTTGTTTGGGCTGCTGTCTTTTGGCGCTGTGTTTGGTACTGCAAATACTGAGTGATGCAGCAAAGGGAAAAGCTTTTTATTTATTTTTTGTATGCAGATATTTCAAGTTGGCCTATATGTGACACACACACACACAAAATCAGTTTTACTGTATAGTTACAATGCAATGTAGAAACTGCCATACATACATATTCTCTATGCGTTTTCTCACTGAAAATAAAATTCCTTCTGCCTTTTCATGGTGTAAATGTGCCACTCTGCTGCTGGCAGAGATGGCGATTGATCTTTAAAGGCACAAAGTAATCTTGATTTTCTCCAATCACAGTCTTTTTGCACTCCTTTTGTCAGGTAAGTGAAAGCAAATGTCACGTGTGCTGATTTGGCTGCAACTGAAGAGGCCTTGAAAGCACAGAAGTTCAGAAGTCATGACCTCTGTAAATGTGATCTTTATATAATTATATATATATATCACACTTGCGGATACTAGTCCACTGAGACATAGAGAGTGAAGAGAAAGGGGTAGAAGTGACGCTTTAGAGGGCAATGATCATGGATTTGCTTTTGAGTCAGGCTCTGAATACAGAATAAGAAGTTTCCATTTCGATTCCTCACACATCGCTGATAAGGACAGAAATACATATGGAGCAGGAGGAGACGCTGGGGGAAGAACTGATACGTGAGAAAAAAAAAAAAAAAGTCAAAACTTAGGCGTCCTTGTGCCGTACTTTTATTTTGAAACGGGGAAGAGACGTCGCTATGGTAACGGATGCAACCTCCGCTAAGATTAGCTCGTTAGCAAACGTCTGCCGGTCTGTCTGTAAATTTGCGCTGTAGTTATTAGTTTACACACACACACACACACACACACACACTCGCCATGGAGGAGACAGACACATACCACATACGACCCAACCATCAGGACAAGTGAGTTGGTCAACCTGGTTAAATGTGATGTCTGGAAAAGAAGCGTAGCTAACTTTAGCTGTTAGCTAGCGTGTGGAAAGCTGCTTGAACATGAATTCCCTGTCGTTGATATCGGTCGTCGTTGTGCTCCAGTATTTAGATATTTGTCAACACTAGCTGGACGTTTGGTCGCATTAGTTAAACATAAACTCTTAATAGTCACTGTTTCTCAGCAACGAGTGGCGCTTTGGTCCAACTAGTTTCAACAGAAGCCCAACCAGTGAACCTTACTAGTGAATTAGTGGCAAGAAAGTCCCAACTAGCTAGCTGTTTGACAGACAAGAGGCCCAGTGGACCGGACTAATAAACTAACTGAAAGTCATACTAGTTACTGAGCTGTGACATGTTAACTAGTCAAACATAGGTTCAGCTTACAAGTTAAATAGTAGCCTACAGTGTTAACTAGTTAGAGACAAATGGTCAGTAGTTAACTAGTGATAATGTTGGCTAAAGCTTAAGTACATATAAGTGTGCTACATTGTTTATCTGGGTTAGGAAATTAATTTAAATCTGCAGAAACTTGCAGAAGCTGTAAATCGTGCCACAACATTTAAAGTTTACTCGGTTTAGACACATATACAATATTACATAAGATGAAACATATGTCTAGGTTACAGTTTATAACAGATATTACTCAAAAGGAGAAAAACAACAGAGTGACAGTATGATAAAAGTCCTGCAGCCCAACATGTGTGTTGATATTTGGCTATTTTCTAACTCATGTTGTTGTATTTACGAAACCTCCAATGTCCCAACAAGCACGTTTTGTACATTATGTGGATGAAACAAACCTGTTCAGATTTTCAAAGTAAAGTTGCTTCTGTGTGCAGGCTCCGGATGCAGTATAAATCTCATCTATCAAATGCAGATTTGATTGAGATTATGAGATTTAAAAAAAAACAAAAAAAAAACAACCTCAAATTCTTGTGGTTTGAACTTATGATGATGGGTGTCACTGAACAGCCACAGCCCACAGCTTTAAATGTTTCTCGGTTTTAGCTGAGTTGCATGTATACATACACATATAGTTGAAACCAGACTTTTACCTACATAAAAATACATTAAACCTTTTTTTCTCACTGTCTGACATTAAATGGGACTAAACTTTTCCTGTTTGAAGCCAGTTAGGATTACCAAAATTCTTTATATTTTCTAAATGCCAGAATAATGAGAGAGAGATTTATTTCTTTTTCTTTTTTTTTGTTCTTTTTTGTTTTACTACTTTCTTCAAAGTCAGAAGTTTACATACATTAAGATTACTATGCCTTCAAACTATTTGGGAAAGCCCAGATGATGATGTCATGGCTTTGGAAGCTTTTGATTGGTTAATTGACAACATTTGAGTCATTTGGAGGCACACCTGTGGATGTATTTTAATGCACACCTCAAACACACTGCTTCCTGAAATCTAAAGAAATCAGCCAACATATCAGGAAGAGAATTGTGGACCTCCACGAGTCTGGTTCATCCGTGGGAACAATTTCCAGATGCCTGAAGGTTCCACGTTCATCTGTTCAAACAATTATACACAAGTATTAACACCATGGGAATGTCCAGCCACCATAGCGCTCAGGAAGGAGACGGGTTCTGTGTCCCAGAGATAAAGTGTTTTGGTGGGAAATGTGCATATCAACCCCAGAACAAAAGCTAAAGACCTTGTGAAGATGCTGCTGAAGCTGGTAAGAGTGAAACCAGTCCTGTACTAACATGGGCTGGAAGGATACTCAGAGAGGAAGAAGACATTACTCCAACAGTAACATACAAACGCCAGAATACAGTTTGCAAATGCACACAGGGACACAGACCTTCATTTTTGGAGACAAGTCCTGTGGTCTGATGAAACTAATATTTAACTGTTTGGCCATAATGACCGTCGTTTCATTTGGAGGAAAAAGTGGGAAGCTTGAAGCCTGAGAACACCATCCCAACTGTGAAGCACGGGGGTGGCAGCATCATGTTGTAGGGGTGTTTTGCTGCAGGAGTGACTGGTGCACTGCACTAAATAGACGACATCATGAGGAAAGAACATTATGTGGAAATATTGAAGCAACATTTTAAGACATCAGCCAGGAAGTTAAAGCTTGGGTAGAAATGGGTCTTCAAATGGACAATGACCCTAAATTACTAATTACAGAGAGGCTTCAGGACAACAAAGTCAGTGTTTTGGAGTGGACATCACAAAGCCCTGATCTCAGTGCTGTACAACATTTGTGGGCAGAGCTGAAAAGGTGTGTAGAGCAAGACGGCCAACAAACCTGACTCAGTTCTACCAGTTCTGTCAGGAGGAATTGGCCAGAATTCATCAAACTGTTGTGAGAAGCTTGTGGAAGGAAATTCAAAACGTTAGCCCCAAGTCATACAGTTTAAAGGCAACACTACCAAATACTAAGGAAATGTGTGTAAACTTCTGACTTTGAAGAAAGTAATTTAAAAAAATCTCTCTAAAAAAAAAAGAAGTTCTCTCTTAGTATTCTGGCGTTTAGCAAAAAGAAAAATTTGGTAATCCTAACTGACCTAAAACAGGAAAAATGTAGTCACATATAATGTCAGGTAGTGAGAAAAAAATAGGTTATGTGTCTTTTTATACGGTGTATGTAAACTTCTGGTTTCAGCTGTATATACAGACATGCATACACACATGTGTGGGTCATTGTTCAAAGTGTGTACAACCACCATTACATCCTAGAGATTTCCACACCGATGTGAACCCAGTCTGTGGGAGGCTGATGAGTTGTGGCCACTGTGACTGCTGGAAGCTGACTGCAATTTTACATTTTCATCTCTCGTCGCTCACTGTTGAATCTTCTAGGTTTAAGCCAGCCGTTGTGAAGGAGTGTGTTCGTGAAATTGTGAGGGAGCGACTGTCTGGGTTGCGCTACGACCCGGAGGAAGTCCCGGAGCTCTCCCGTTCACTGGCAGACTGCATTAAAGACAAAGTGAAGAGTGAGCGATGCATTCTCTCCTGTTGTGCTTTAAGTCAGAATGATAGAACATCCAAATACTGTTGGGAATTTTAAGTGTTGTTTAAAAATGATAACTTAAAGAGAAGTCCTGTTCATCTAAAAGTCTATTTAGATAACTATGAGAGAGCTGGAGAGGTTTTATACGCTCGATAGTTTCATTTACTATTCAGCACGGCAGCGAAATGGCTTCAGAAGTGCCGACTCAGCCCAGTGTACTGTCGGCTCAATACACAACAAGCAAAATGCTCTGTCAGCACAATAACAATGTAAACTAAAGATATATTACCACTTAAGCTGTGATTGATGTCGCTGGCAGTGCAAGACCAGAGGCTGAGTCTCTTCGAGAAGAAAACTAGAACACTTAGAGACAGACAACCAAGCACACTCACATAGATAGATGGATAGATAGATAGATGGATAGATGGATAGATAGGTAGATAGATAGATTGGGCAATGAAACTGTCTCGTTTGCACACTCCCATATACATCATAAAGAATATAAATATATGTATAAAAACAAACAAAAAAACAAAAAATATAAATAGATGCAAAGAAATAAAAAGAGACAGAAACTAAGGTGCATACAGACTTTTTACAAGTAGCGGCATCATTGAGGTGATGTAGCAGCAGACAAACATTTAAAGTGCTCAGTGCCTGGTGACACATGTTAACTGAACTGTACATTAAGTTCAGGAGTCTGATGGTCTGAGGAAAAAAACTGTTTGTCAGTCTTGTGGTCCTTGACTTCACACTCCTGTAGCGCCTCCCTGTGTGCTGTGGGTGTGTGTGGTCTTTAATGATGTTGTGGGCTCTCCTGATGACCCTCCTGGTGTAGATGTCCTGCAGTGATGGGAAGGCCACTCCAGAGATGTTTTTTGCAGTTTTTATTACACGTTGGAGTTCCTTCCTGTCCTGTAGGGAGCAGTTCCCATGCCACACAGTGATGGCGCTGGTGAGCACTCCCTCGACTGAACCTCTGTAGAGGTTGCTGAGGATTTCAGGAGGCATCCCAAATTTCCTCAGCCTCCTAAGGAAGTACAGCCGTTTGTGTGCTCTCTTTGTCATTCACACCTACGGACAATTTAGAATCACCAGTTAACCTCAACATGTTTTTGAACTGTGTGAGGAAGCAGGAGAACCTGGAGAGAACCCACACTGCAACATGCAAACTCCACGCAGAAAGATCCCAGGTGCCCTCACCGGGACGCGAACCGGCGACCTTCTAGCTGCAAGGCAACAATGCTAACCACCAATCCGCCTTGCCCATAAACTGCAACAACATAAAAATATAATTTTGTCCAGACAGCTGTATAGGCAGCAGTGACATATCTCCTAATAAATTATAGTCTGCCACTAAAATTAGTAACTTTTATGAATTTTACAGTTTAAATCCAGCCTGTTATTGTCCACTTCTATTTTGCTGTTGTACAGTTTGTTGTTTGTTTCTCTCTTTTTGAACAGGCGCTGGATTTGACAGATATAAGCTTGTTGTGCAGGTGGTCATCGGAGAACAGCGGGGGCAGGGAGTCACGTAAGTTATCGTTTAGTACTGGTAAACACAAAAAATGCTTCTACACTTTGTAAAACTACTGAACTTCAGAAGCTACTTTATTTTAGTACCAGTTTCTCTTGGGAAAGAAGGTGCATCATGTCCTGTACTGCTGAAGAGAGACTCGTATGGTGTGGGGAAACTGGCTCTTTGCCTTCAGTGAAAGAAACACAGCTACAGAACATTACATTACATGTATAATGCAGTCAGTGAATGCTGAAAACAGTTGTCGCACATCTTCTATGAGTTTTCACATTATTTATTATAGCACTTTTATTCCA